GCTTCTATACTAATGCTTAAAATGCAAATCTATTTTTTACTTTCAAGAAATTAATCTATGCGCATTGATCAATGACGTGGATTATTAGCCTTTAGCTATGTCGAATTTATTGCAGGTGTTGAACCTAAGGCTTGTGTAGTTCAACCTTTCTACCTGTATCGGATATGATTTGTTAGCCCTTAGTTCAAATGTTTTTAGACCCTATTCCAAGACACCTCCATTCTCTCTTTGTGAGTATTCACTGTGCATATTCCGTGTATCTCTCAATACTATCTTAAGGCTATGTCGATCAAGAAAAGAGAAAGAAAGGGATTTTTTTTTTCAGAAGATTTGTTTTTGAAGGATTTTTTTTAGGTTGTTTTTAAAAGAACGGGTGGCCGAGGTTGGCTGGTGTTTAGGCTGATGAACAAGCACATTCAAAGTAAAGAAACCATTTTTCATGTTAGCTTAGTATTCCCTTCAAACTTAAACGATGACTTGGAATTGCATATTGATTAAATGATCTTCCGGAGTCGGCTCTCGGTCTTCAGTTCGGGATGCTGCTTTGTCCTAACTTTTGCCTAGGTAACTTGAGATATGTTTCCTAGCGAACATTTTCTTTTCGATCCTCATTTTTGCCTAGGTTACCCTTTTTGTTTGTGGGTCTCCTAGTAGACCTTGCCCTAATTTTTGTGTAGCCCCCTTAGTGGGTTTGGTGTCGGGCTTTTGTTTTTACAGCGTTTGTGGTCACCTTTCGCTCTTTCATTAAAAGGGGATGCCTGTAGACACCCAATTTCATCCGGGGGGCACACAAACAAAGAAATGGACCTCCATTACGAAGGGAAGGGGCTTCCGAAGTAGGCAAACAACAAGACAAGACATCAGAAGGCCTAAAGGCCAAATAAGGTGGTTTCAGTAGCCCGGAACGGGCCATTCCAAAATCGAAACGGGCCGTTCCAAAACTCAGAACGGGCCGTTCCAAAATCGGAACGGGCCGTTCTGAACCCCGGAACGGGCCGTTCCAATATAAGAACGGGCCGTTCCAACGTAACTGAAATCAACTAAATATTTTGGGTGGAACGGGCCGTTCCAATACCAGAACGGGCCGTTCCAAATAAGGAAAATCTGGAAAGGGCCGTTCTGGAAAAGGAAAATTTGTGTTACTTTCTACTCTGGAACGGGCCGTTCCGTTTTTAGAACGGGCCGTTCCAGGGTACGAAATTTACACATAATAATTGGGCCAGAACGGGCCGTTTCGAAACTGAAACAGGCCGTTCTAAATTAAATTACACGATTGATCCTAAAATGTCTACATGGTTGCTTTTATTATATTGATATTTAGGATGAGGGAATAGAGAAAAGAGAAGAGAATTGAGTGAAATACCTCTTAAACGAGCTTTATTGAATCTTCAAATATGGAGATCTAATCTGTCATAGGGAACCCGAAAGGGGCGCTGTGGGGTGCTAACACCTTCCCCACGCGTAACCGACTCCCTTACCCAACTCTGGTTGTAATGGCCAAAGTTGATTTATAAAATCAATTGCCTTATCCCTTTTTCCAATGTTTTGAGTAAAACATTGGTGGCGACTCCATGAACCCTTCCTTTTTATGAAAACCGCTAATCCATGGAGGGTCCCGCTTGGGATTAACATGGATTGGTGAGCCTTTTAATAAAATTGCTCGTTTGACGAGGTCTCAGTTTGAGAATAAGTCATTCTAGCAATCCATATTTTTAAACAAATAAAAGAGTCCAACCATCCTTCGCGAGTGCCGAAAAGCCCGTTTCGGGCCGGTGGCGACATTCCTTAGTTGGAATCTACTATTGGCTTGCCATCCGTCATGAACTTGATTTTTTGGTGGAACAAGGAGGGTACAACTTGAGTTTAATGCGTCTATGGAATTTCTTAGGAGGTAACTGTAGGCAGGAGTGATAATAGAGCTTTGATGTAGAATTTTCATAGAGTCTTACTTTTTGGAAAGGATACTCGATCTTCCTTTCGGTTTTCAACTCGAGAAGACATTGCCCCCTTTTTTATCCCTAACTTTTGCATAGGACGTATCCTATCGAGACTTTTGATATATATATTTTTTATTTTGATATATATATATTCTTATTATTATAACCCTAATTTTTGCTTAGGATGCTCTTTGCAGGTTTTCATCCTAGCGAGTTTTTAACAAGTAATGTCTTTAAACATGATACTCCTTTTCCATGTTGAAATTATCTTGGTAAGAAAACATTTGAGAGATTTGTCTCCCTCCTTAGATTCCTCTTCTTTCTTCTTTAAACTTATTCTTCTTTATGGAGGTATCAATTTCACAATTTGCTAAGTCTTGGCCACTCCTGGCCATTCCTCCAATCCTAGTGATTTTGGATAGGTCCTTTGATGATGATGTTTGGATTTTCGCGGCTTCATCCTTGTTGCATGGGGAAAGGCTCGACATCTTGATAGTTAATTTTGACATTCTTTCCCCCTTTGCCCACTTGGATAGTAACTGGTTTCACCCTTGAGCGTGCCTCACTCCAGAGTGTGGGCTTGACTACTAGCAACTTACTTTCCATGATTAACGCTTATATATTCATTTCCATTTTTATTCTTATTTATTCTTTTACAAGGAAGGATATTTTCTAAATGAATGTAATGCATAATGTCGAGAAAGTTGAGAATTGATAAATATCAGTCTCATTGATTTGTTTACCGTTGAATGCTTAAATAGATTTTGACAGTGTCAAGCGAGCATCTAAAGAAATTTTTAAGTAGTTGATGTCTATGTGAAACACGTCTTATTAATGCCTAAGTCTGCACTTTTTGTATCAAAACTTTCGGCTTAGTAGACTCATAATTTTCCCCCAAAAACTTTATTAATAAAACATTTTTGTCATAGTAGGCTTTTTTTTTTTTTTTTTGCAAAAAGTGCATAATAGATTCTAAGAAGGCTTGCCTCAATATACATATCAAAGTATGGGCCCAACCATAATATTTTCAAAATCAATTTGGGCCTTTATTTAGAGCTGTCGCAACTCGAAAATTTCCGATCTCGCGACTTATGGTTTATACAACCTTTTAAAGATCTCATCAATTAGGGAATAGCCGGACACCAGACTAATCCTTAATTAATGATTTTGAAAAATGAGTTCATCGAGTCACCACCAATGTTTTACTCAAAACAATGAAAAAAGAAAAGGTTTTTAAAAATCCAATAATGGTCTTGATAACCAGAATTAGGTTCGGGGTCGGTTACATGTAGGGAAGGTATTAAGCACCCCTACGGCGCCCTTAATCGGTACCCTATGATGAAATTAATGTGATAAGAATTAATAAATTAAATATTAGATCCTCTTTATTAATATTTATTTACATGCTATAAATTAAATTACACGATTGATCCTAAAATGTCTACATGGTTGCTTTTATTATATTGATATTTAGGATGAGGGAATAGAGAAAAGAGAAGAGAATTGAGTGAAATACCTCTTAAACGAGCTTTATTGAATCTTCAAATATGGAGATCTTTTAGGTTCTTTGTGGCAACTTTCACACTACAATATGCCTCATAAAATCTCAAGAAATACAAAAAGAGAAAGAAAGAGAGTCATCTAAACAAAGCACAACCCCAGGTCATCACTCCACTTTCCAAAAATCCTAGTAGACCTTGCCCTAATTTTTGTGTAGCCCCCTTAGTAGGTTTGCTATCGGGCTTTTGTTTTTACAGCGTTTGTGGTCACCTTTCTATCTTTCATTAAAAGGGGATGCCCCTTACACTGATTTTGTTTTGGGCTTTTATCCTCAAGTCATGACGAATTTGTCTGATGTTATTTGTCCTTGTTTGTGCATTAAGCTATTGTTTCCAATGACATCCCTATTTGAAATGTACTTGTTCATTTAAGGTTTGTTAATAAGGCTTAGAGTAGATTAAGGGGAAAAGAGGAATGAAATAGAAAAATGTATGACATTAAAATAGAATTTTTAACTTACACATGCCCATTTAATGTAGCTCGAGGGCCCAGGCATGCCCCGAGTTCGTGATTCGTACATAGAGAAAAATAAAGAGGGTGTCCTTTAGAGAGGATCGGTACACTTGAACTTTCTTCTGATGTTTGTATACCAGCGCTTTAAAAATTCTTCATGTAAAGGCAGATATCTCGACCCCTCTTCCCTTAAAGACATGGCTGGATCATATCCTAAACCCTGTCGCTTTGATTTGTCTCGAAATACGGTAGCCTAGTCATTCCTTAAACATCTATACCATGCCCTTATCTTGGATGGTAGTATCTATGCTACTAATTATCTTCCATTACTCGAGTTCCTATTCACGTGAGCGATCATAGGGTTTCCTCTATTATATTCATTGACGAACGGTTTGTTGATAAGTGCCGAGCTGCAGGCCACGAGGAGGGATCTCACAAGGACTCAGAAGTCCTTGGAGATTGCTTTGAGGGCTAATGAGGTCTATGCTTCCCAGGTTGGCAAGCTTCAGGAGATCGCCAACTCTTCTCGGGGTCGAGTGCGCTCTCTTGAAGATGAGGTCTCGGGGTTGAAAGCTGATCTGGCGGAGGCGGCTAAGAGGCGTCTCTATGACGAGGTGCTTTTGGCGGGTAAGGAAGAGGAGGCTAGTGCCTTGAAGGCGGACCTTGATCAGTTGGTTGCAGCAAAGACGGCCTTAGAGAGGAGGCTTGTTGAGACCGAGCGAGCTATTTTGCTGGAGCACAAGAAGGGCTTTGTCAAGGCAGCTCGTCAGGCGAGGTTACTTGCGCCCGTGGTCGACCTTTCTACTATGCACATAGAGAAAGAGGTCCGAGCTGGGCGGCTGGTGAAGGAAGACGACCTCCCTGATAGCTAGAGCGAGAATACCACAACTTAGGCTGCTGTGTTTGTAATAACTTAGTTTATTTTTATATTTTTCTCACTTTCTGAACTTGTGTTTTGAATTTATGAACTCGTTTATCAACAATGTCCATTCTATACACCTGTAATTGTATTGATAACTCCGTGCAAGGGAGCTGACCTTGTGTCCTGACTTACCTCGGCCTGCACCGCACCGTCAGTGTTTTGCTGAGAAGCGGAGGGTTGGTCCGTACGTGTCCCGGAACCTTAGCCTCGTCCTCATCCTCGTCCGTGGTAGCCTCGTCTGTGACTTTGTTGCCGTTGGACGTATTGTCCGAGGTTCCCCCCTGGACGAGTTCCTCTATGCGATCTCTGAGTGTGTGGCACTCCTCGGTCGTGTGACCATAATTTTTATGGTACTGGGAATGCTTAGATTTGTCCGCACTGTTGCGACTGTGTCTAGGTGGTGGCAGAGTGAGCAGATTTTTGTTGCTGGCCTCTTCCAAGATGTGTACTTGGGGTGGGGGGTGTAGAAGTCATACCTCCCTCCTTTGTTTGCCCTAGTCGCCTTCTTGAATTGGTTGTCGTTGGTGACTTTCATCTTGTCTTTGTGGCTGTGGTCTGGCTTTGCCTGTGCTTTTCCATGGACTTGGTCGCGGAAGGCGGTGTGTTCTTCCATCTGAATGTACCCTGCAGCTCGGGCATGGAGTTCGTCCATGTATGGGGGAGGTCGTCGACACAAGCTATCCACGAAAGGTCCTAGCTTGAGTGCCATGAGCATGGCGTGAAGGGCGACCTCGGGATTTAAGTTGCGGATCTTGACCGAGGTGCTAGCGAAGCGCTCCATGAACGCCCTCAACGGTTTGTCTTCGCCCTGTCTGAGGCTGGCCAAGGTGGCTGATGTGATGTGGTGAGGCTGACTCGTTGCGTACTGTGCCGTGAATCGTCTCACCAAAGTGTCGAAGTTGTCAATTGATCCTGCTGGCAATTGAGTATACCAGGCGAGTGCTTCTCCTTTGAGCGAGGTCGAAAACACCCTACACAAAATAGCATCCTCGTTAGTGTATAGGTTTACTTGTGTGACATACAGATCGATGTGCTCGTCTAGGTCAGCAATGCCATCATAACGGTCGATGTTGAAAGTATACCAGGCGAGTGCTTCTCCTTTGAGTGAGGTCGAAAACACCCTACACAAAATAGCATCCTCGTTAGTGTATAGGTTTACTTGTGTGACGTACAGATCGATGTGCTCGTCTAGGTCAGCAATGCCATCATAACGGTCGATGTTGAAAGGCTTCCATCCAAAAGGCAGGGGCGTCTCCATGATGTCGTCAACAAAAGGATGGCGGCGGATGCTCGCCCTATGCCCTGGAGCTTGGGCAGGCGCATTGCTGACTTCGTGGTCTGACCTATTCGTCAGCGCGTGTGATTGATGTATAGTAGACTTATGAGTCGGTGGCTGGGAAACCGAGTGCCCCTCTTCCTCGTTTTGATTACTCAGTTGAGGGGGTTGATCCGAAGGGCGCCGAGGAAGCTAGGTGCGAATGCGCTCATTCTCAATGCCCAGTGCTGCTAGGTCAGATTCGTGCCTAGCACGAATGTTCTCTAGGTCGACAGCGTGTTGTTGCTGCATTTGTTCGACCTGCTCGATCAGTCTCCTCGATCTAGGTCGTTTGTTGCTCGTCTACTATGGCTTCGGGTGAAAACCATAAGCATGGTCGATAAGAGATGTCTTGATCGGCCCCACGGTGGGCGCCAAATGTTCTTACCGGAGATCGATCGTAAGGGCGATCTGCTGGGCAAGATTGGTGAGCCTCCTTCGCTGGGTACGTTCGCTGTTCCAAAGTGGGGGTGGTACCTGCAAAAGAGACTCCAATGCTAAAGTTAGTGTTTGTGGATGTACGGGTCTCGTATAAGTAATGCACGTACCTTAGTATGAATTAGGGTTTATCTAGGCCTTGGGCTTGAGGTCGATTGTGACCTGTTTAGATAGTGAGCTTTGTCTTGGCCGATGTTGTGTAGCACGTGTCCGATGTCATTCCGCGCTGTGATGCCAAGCTCAAGCTCGGTTTCGCGATACGGATAATACACGTTTGATAAAGAAACATTAAAGGAAAATAAGGAAAAGTATATATATATATTATTTTAAAAATAACAATAATAAACAATCTAATTCTTAATGATAATAATAATAATAAATAAATAAATTTTATTTGATATTTTAAATGAAAATTTATATTTAATAATAACTTCCAATAATATAATAATAAATTATTTCTTATTTATAAATAAAATTACTTATAAAAAAATAAACTTTCAATAATAATAATAATAGTTTTTACTTATTTTTTTCAAATAAAATTATTTATAAAAAATTAAACTTCTATTCTATTTTTTTTTTGCTGAATATCTTTATTCCTATTTTATTTTTTTATCAAATTTTTTACAATTTTTTATTTCTTTCCTATTTATTAAATATATAAGGATTTGTTTGATAAAAAGGAAGTAGAGAAAAGAGAAGTAAAAAAATTGAAAAAATACTGTATTTAGTAAAGGAACATTAAAATAAAATTTTGCTAAGCGTACAAAAAGAAAATATTGTCATTGAGATTTGAGAAATCATTGAAGACCTACTTATCACTAGAATAATACAAAAGAAAAACAGTTGGTCTCTTGCCTCCACATGTGTCAGAAAAGGCTGCACTATTTATATGGCAAATACATGCAGTTCAACTAATCAAAATTAAACCTCTAAATTATATTTTTAAGTATTTGTATTTATTTTTAAGATTAAATTTAATTTAGTTATTTTTAAAAGATTTAATTTTAAAAAAATAATCGATGTTATTCTTTCGTTTAAATTTGACAATAATAATATTAATGAGATTAGGTAAAAATACTATGTTAAACATTTAAAAAAAATAATTAAAGAATTAAATTAAATATTATTAAAATAGTAAAATTAAATCGAATATTTTAAATGATTTAATTTAATCATTTTATTTTTAAATAATGTTTAATGTTGTTTTTTCATCGGATTTTATTAACACCGTTGTTGTTAATTTGAAAATATTGAACATTTTAAAAAAATAAACAACCAACTTGAGTCATTTAAAAATAGTGAAAGTGTAAATTAAATCTTAAAAATAAATAGAGAGAGAAAAAATATAATTTAATAAAATTAAATTTAATGGTTTTGAAAAGATTAAAATATTTTTAATCTATAATTTATTTACTTTACTTTTTATTCTTTATAGTTTAAAATATTTTTTTTTGTCTATATACTTATTTTTTTTATTC